TGCATTGGCAAACTACTCACTACTGTCTGTAGAAATCTGATGATCTATGTACATCATGCTTGCGGTCTCTAAGAGTACGCGAGAAAGGGGTTCCAGGAAAAGAGAGGTATAGAAAATCACAATAATCTGTGGTTTCAAGATTCATAACCTAGCTCTCACTCTATAGTTCACTAACCTACGACACTAGATTCAAGTCGACTACTTTGAGCATTAACAAAATGACTTCCTGCACATTTTAGAGTTAATAATAATTAATAGCAATAATATCCTCATCGAAGGCACACAAATAGAGCTTCATAGTGCACAAGTCACTGGCTGAAAGGCAGACCTAGGCACTAATTCAAGAAGTTTAACCCCCGGAAACTCAAACCAAGAATCCAAATTGCCGAATACCTGATTTCTCAAGAAACCTAAGCAAGATAACCCACCAACAGAATGCTGGCATCAATTCAACGAATCCGAAGCAAAGCCCACCAAAGGGTATTTTCAAATTTTCAATTCAGAGCCACGTACCCTTGAGCCCTAAGAAGTCGCCGCTGCTGCACCGTGCCGCAAATCGACAAGAGGGATAACAAGCTCGCCCTTCTGATAGTGACCGGCTGCCCTCTCCTCAACCCGTCAAGCGCGAAATTAACCTCGTCGACGTGCTCCATCATCTCTCCGAACTCCTGCGCCTCCATTAACGTAGAAGTCATCGGAACCCACGGCCTTGCATCCCCTCCCACCCGCTTCTCCAACTTCCCATTTCTTGGTTTCTTCGACTTCCTGGAAGCAACATCGTTGGCAGGGGCCAAATTTTCCTGGGAGGAGGAAGGATTGAAGCCGTAGGGATCGGGATCGAACGAGGAGGCGGAGGAGGGCCAGAAAGAAGACGATTCTTGGGAAGGGAAAGGGAAGTCGTAGAAATTCTGAGATGGGCTCTCTTGGGAGAGGGAGAAAGAGTCCCCGCCGAATGAGTGCCCAGCAAGGTCGTCGTCTTCGTCGAGTGAATCGGAAAACGACCTGCTCCGGCGGCCGTAAGTCCTGACGATCATCCCTTTGAATTTGAAATTTCCTTGTCTTTGTAGTTACTTTATCTTTCAGCACGAGGAAAGCTGTAGTCTGTACTCCGTAGAGGGGTAGCCGAGTTTCCGAGGGCGTTTCGGGAAACAGAGCAAAAGATAAGCTTTTGAGAAAATGGAGATGGGTTGAGAGCTGAGGAGAGAAAGAAGAGTGGAGCAGCGGAGGATTTAAGACCGGCCGGAGGTGGAGCAGAAGAAGACGGGAGGAATGAAGGAAGGTATAGCCGTTTGGTGGTTAAAGATGGAGGATTTACTTTTGTTCGGACGTGTTGTCGGGTCGGGTCGGGGATCCGGTGCGGCTGCGGCCTGCTGAAGCACCGTCGTTTTTTTGTTGTTCGTTGCAGAAGCTGGGCTTGTGGCCAAAGCCCAAAAGTAAGGGCTATTTGGTAAATTAAAAAACGTTCGGATCGTCACGAGCTTAACGCGTGCGTTTCTTCGTGATCAAACGTCGTTTATTATAGGTCTGGTAATGACGCCAAAATTAGTTATCTAGGAAGCAATGCCGTGATGGGCATGCGTAACCAAAGTAATCATACAAATACAAATGCTGCCATTCCATTTTTGTCCATTTACAAGAAATGGGATAACTCGGTATGAAACTATCAATGAAGTAAAATCTCATTTTCTTAGTGTGAGATTAACAACTCTAGGGATCGGTTAGCATGCTAACCCTTGTATGGGTTGGCAAAATGACAACCCTATTAATTATAAGTTTTTAAGGTAATTAATTTGTATTGCATTTAATAATCTGTATGAATTAAAAACATATATTAATTACTTTCCTTTTTCAGTGCACTGGTAGTTGTATCAGTGCACTGGTATACTGAACTCATATTAATTACGTTCCTTTTTTGGAACTACCATTGCAGTGATGCATCTACCATTGCACATGTACAAGTATACCTCATATTAATTACGTTCCTTTTTTGGAACTACCATTGCAGTGATACATCTACCATTGCACCTGTACACAACTACCAGTGCACTGATACAACTACCAGTGCACTGAAAAAAGGAAAGTAATTATTATGTGTTTTTAATTCATACAGATTATTAAATGCAACACAAATTAATTACCTTAAAAACCTATAATTAATAGGGGTTGTCATTTTGCCAACCCTTTTATGGGTAGGCATGCTATCTCATCCCACAACTCTATGGTGTATACAAATAAAAACATTGGCATGTTAGATTATTGGAAGGTGATTGGTGTTCGTGTTTGGTTATCTGTAAATTGCGGGTGATAGAAAGTGAACGGAGTAGTGATCAACAAGAATATGAGTATGAGTGAAATTTTGTGATAATGTGGAACAAAAATGAATTGGATTAGGTGTGTTGATGTTTAGTTGGAAAAAAGGATACATAGAACGTATTTTACATGTTAAAAAATACATACTGAAGATAGGGTAAATGTGAGAAATTCCAACAAGTAAACTAGATTTAGAATCTGCCTATGGGGATTACTTTGTTATGGAGCAGTATGAGGATAGTTTCCTCCGAGCTAAGTAATAAAGAGATGAGAGGGTAGTGGCGAAGCTAGAGTTTTGAACGAGGGGGGGGGGGGGCTAAAAAATCTACTCTTGAGAGATTTGAACCATGATCATTGGAGAGGGGGGCGTGTATGAATTCAGCAACCACGGGATCCGATTCTTTAATACATTTTCATTTGTAGTCTTCCATATGTTCCAACACAAAAAGACAACGTGGAGGAGACTCTAGGGTTGGAGAAAATCCTTCAGAGAGCACTAGCTAGTAGCCACAAAACAAGGTAGATGGTGAGGGAAGAGGGGGAGATGGAAAGTGAGAATTCCAATTACATCTTCCTTGGGGCATGCGAAGAGACAATGGAAAAGAGGCTCGTATGGATTATTGCATAAGGAGCACGTTGAATTTGGAGCACACTTTTTATTGTGTAGCCTTAACTTTGTCGCTAACCCGTTCTTTCAACACCTCCGAATAATGAATATAAGCTTGGGAGGGATATATGCAAATCCACTTGAACTTCTCCTTGTTACCCTACAACTGTGGGTTCATGGTAAGTCGTTCTAGTCGAGAAACACTCCTCATCGGTGAATTTTCAAACCAAATAACCCCCTGAAACCTCCTCTTCGATGAATTTCTTTTGGTAGCTTCTAGCTCATGCGAAAAAAACATGAACTTCGATGAGATTGGAGTTCTACATCCTCTTAATGAACAATTGAGGTTATAGTTAAACACCATTGATAGTGAATAAACCCAAAACTTGACATTGGCGTCTGGCAACTCAACCTACCTCAACAATATTGTTAGCGAGTGAGTCTTGCTGCTTGGAAAATGGGAGAGTAGGCTCATGGGTTCAAATCTCTATTTTTATTTTTATGTAACACCTTAGGTAAATCGCGTATCGTCAAAGCACGAGAGAGATGTATGATTCATAAGTAACAACATACATTAACCGGTGATACACATTTTGGGTGAAATGAGCGAGTTATTCGAAGAACTCTAACGAAAAAATGTGCTCAATGGATCAATGCAAAGAAACGTGACCTTCCAAGAAGGCATCATGATGCGCCTAAAAGCAAACATGTGTTGGGTAGGCCCAACATGGACAATATATCTTGGCAATTTTGTCTGAAGCCTTTTTTTAATAATACGTGAGTTCCATTGATAGGTGAAAATCAAAGGTCTAGGTGGATCTATGAAGATGGGTAAAAAACCCATAGAAGATACAAGACAATCAAAGGAAAACTAAAAGGCCTAACATATGGAAAATTTTAAGCTCAATTCCACATAAAGACCCGATCAAACCCTAACAAGCCCACCCCACCCTACAACCATCTCTTCTGCTCCACCACCACAGCCACACCAAACTCACAAAACGTGAAGAACTAAAAGAAACGTCGGCTGGAGATGGATGAGCCCCAACTTCATAAGGGCACATGAAGATCCCCTCTGAAGAACGAGACGAAGCCTGAAACAACAAAGAGAATAGAGACAACTAGGGAAAGAGTCGTACCCTATCTTCAAGCTCATCAAACATGTATACAAAAGGCAGATTAATAGGTGCCCAGACTTCTATGAAATGCCACAATAGTTGGGTAAAGCAAGGAGGAGGATGACCAGATATGAAAAGGCGAAACAAGCTGCAAATTGCTCCACATCCCCCTTTGTCCTCGGGAAACATGCACTAAATATCTAGATATGAGAATCTCAAACTATAAAGAAGTAGTCTAACCAGAGGTTGAGAAGATGAAGTCCCACAAAAGGGATGTAAACGACAACAAGGAAGGTAAAAACAACATGGACTTGAATCAACAAAGTGAACTGGACGAAACTAACAAAAGCAACGCAACGATAATCAAAGGGGGCGGAGGGCTATCGCCGACCGCTAGGGAGACACCAACATCAGGTCCATGACTGAAGAAAAATAGTTAGAGAGAGGTTAGACCAAAAAATTGATAGAGATAGAGATTAGCTAACCTTTTGGTCAACCTTCTACTCTCTCATTCTTTGCTTTGTCAAATTACCACCAATTTCACCCCGTGTGATTATAATTAATCAAAGAATACCAATACAAACAAAACCTTCATATAAAAAAAGTATATACGACAATACAACATAGTTAAATTAACCTATAAAACATTCCACCCACTTTTGACCTATAATAGACTAGTTTTTTTTTTTTTTTTACAACATACTAATATGGTTCCCATAAATTACATTGCTTAATTTTGCAACAATACCATTTGAACCACAAGTGTACACGTAAATCCCATTCCGCTAGCTTCTACGATTTTAATGTTTAAATTTCCATGTTCACCAAAAAAAGGTTTGGGGGGGCAAAAAAAGGAAAATTCCCAAGAAAGCCAGCAAAACCAAGAGGGGCGGTTACGTATTTTTCTCCATATTCCCGCTTATTTAATTCCGCAATTGGCTTCTCGTTTTCTTTGCCCCTCACCACCCCGTGGTATCAATTATCATCGTCGCCTACGTCTTTCTTTAAAATGCGTGGTACTGTTTTTTGACCTTTCGCAATCTGGATCTAGGGTTTCCTCCCCTCCGCTTCTCTTCTCCCCGCCTCCTCCGTCGTCACTTTTCCTCCGCCACCACCACCACCACCACCACCAGCTTAAAACATACCATCACAGCTGAAACAGACAGAGAACAGACATTCACAGAACGCAAACCGTAGCTCCGCCGCTTTCCGCAACCCCTCTGTCGCCGTCGACACCTGTTTCGTATTACGAAATCTAGACCCTGGTAACATACGAAGCAATCGAAGAAGATCGATTCCGGTCGCCGGCGGTGCGATTCGGAGGGAAACCGGCGTGGATTCTTCTTCCTCGAATCTTATTATTATCATCTTAAACACGATTTGAGCCTTAAAAAAGGAAATTTCCCTATTCCAACCTTCCTTTTTCTCTTTCTGTCTATGTCCTGTAACTTTTCGATCGATTCGATGTGGACGAAGGCCAGGACGGACTTCCGATTCGCTCGGACTTTTGTATTTGGATTTTGACTCTTGTAAGAGGAAACGAGTCTCCGCTGAAAACCTAGTCTTAAAAAGAAAGAAATTGCAATCCCCCCCTACCGGAATCGAGATGTCGATGACGACGATGTCGAAATCGGCGGTGGTGTATAGAGGGGAGGAGATGGTGGGGGAAGTGGAGATATATGCGCAGCAAAGGGAAGGAGAAGTGGTGGTGGACGGAGAGAACAAGAGCTTCAACTTGAGGAACAAGAACAGGGTAATTGACGAGATTCTGTTTGCCGGCAGGGAAATCAGAATAACGCACTTCTCCCCGGCGAGTGAGAGGTGCCCGCCGCTGGCAGTGTTGCATACCATTACCTCTACTGGGATACTATTCAAAATGCAGCCCAGGAATCCGCCGCTGTTACAGCAGCAGCAGCAGCAGCACACGCCGCTGCATTTCTTGCACTCTGCACTTATCCAAGACAACAAGGTATAGCAAATTATACCTGCTAAAGTTAGTAAAAATTGAAGGGAGAACTTTAAAAGAAACTTTGGGGGAAAGTGCAGATTTTTAACTGAGTGTAAATATGTGAGAGGAACTTTTGGGTTATCTTTTTCTGTTGGTAATGTGACTAATGGGGATTGAAATCGACTGTATGAATGAGGATGTTTCTGCTGAGCTGAAATGTTAACGTTGCATCAAGCTGGGAGACCACTGTCTGGTGAGTTCACAGACAGTAGAGTGTGTTAAATGGTATTTTGCTCTCTGGTTGGCAGAAACTTGAGCTCGCCATTTGTATGGTGATATGACTGTCCCATGGAGGGCCTTAAGGGTGAGGATTGAGATGGGATGTAAGAGTATAGGCATTAGATTGACAAGAAACTTAGCCGGTGTAGCTCAGTATTTTCAAATATGTGCAGAAGCTAGTTTTGATGATGGTTATGGTGCTGAACGTTGTTCTTTTTCTGTGTCGGATTTTGCTCAAGATACTGATTGCTTAAGTGTAATTTTGTATTCAGACTGCAGTGATGCGGGTAGGAGGGGATGAGCTCCATTTGGTCGCTATGCATTCCCGGACTAGTGAAAGACCATGTTTCTGGGGATTCCTTGTTGCAGCAGGACTATATGACTCTTCTCTTGTCATGTTGAACCTGAGATGCCTTGGCATTGTATTTGATCTTGATGAAACTCTTATCGTTGCAAACACAATGAGGTCATTTGAAGATAGAATTGATGGATTGCAGAGGAAAATAAGCATCGAGGCAGACCCACAGCGGGTTTCAGGTATGCTGGCTGAAGTGAAACGTTATCAGGACGACAAGAACATATTGAAGCAATATGCCGATAATGATATGGTTACTGATAATGGGAAGGTGTTGAGAGCTCAATATGAGAATGTCCCTCCACTGTCCGATAGCCATCAGCCTATAGTGCGTCCGTTGATTAGGTTACCAGACAAGAACATTATTCTGACTCGCATTAATCCACAGGTATATCACTAATGTGATTGCATCATCTCATTTCTCTGAACTGGAGATATGGATTTGTTTTCCTCCAGCATTGCTTGACGAAGTTGGTACTTCACTTACATTTCTGTAGCTGTATGGAGTTTTGCAGATGTTCTGTAATATAGGCATTTTTTACTCGCATCTTTCTTTTGTTCGCATAAAAAGTTGCTGCCATGTGTATTATGTCTGCCTAAGTATAGGGTTATGCTTTTATGTGTAGATTCGCGACACAAGTGTTCTTGTGAGGTTGAGGCCTGCATGGGAGGATCTGCGAAGTTACTTGACTGCTAGAGGTCGCAAGCGTTTTGAAGTTTATGTCTGCACAATGGCTGAAAGAGATTATGCTTTAGAAATGTGGAGGCTACTTGATCCAGAGTCAAATTTAATAAACTCTAAAGAACTTTTGGACCGCATTGTGTGTGTCAAGGCTGGTAAGCAGCAGGGTGTAGCTAATCCATTGTTTCTCACATGTTGGCTTCTTTCCTCTTCTTATTTCTACGAGCTGTACCTATAATTACATCTGGATGATCCCTTATTGCTGGTGTTCTATCGTTTGTTATGCATTATTAGGTTTAAGGAAGTCATTGTTCAATGTCTTCCAAGATGGAACCTGCCATCCTAAGATGTCATTGGTGATTGATGATCGTTTGAAAGTTTGGGATGATAAAGATCAACCTCGGGTGCACGTTGTTCCTGCATTTGCTCCATATTATGCTCCCCAAGCTGAAGTATAGTCTTTATCTTTTCTCTGTCATATGCATATTTGGTTCTAATGTTCCCTTTGGCACATAGGTGGAAAACTGATTCGCGGTATTACCCAGTTGGTCCAATGTGCCTCTCAGTTTCATGTGAGCATGCCCTGATCATCTTCTTGTTTACAGGCAAATAATGCAATTCCAGTTTTATGTGTTGCAAGAAATGTTGCATGCAACGTTAGAGGTGGTTTTTTCAAGTAAGTTAACATTCCAAAGTCAGTAGCCGCCATATTTGAAGCTGTTAAATGTGTTCGAACTTGACATTTTGTACTTGATTCTTTTGGCACGACCCGATCCTTAATTGTTAACAGAGATTTTGATGAGGGTCTTCTGCAAAAAATGTCTGAGATTTCATATGAAGACAATATTTCAGATATTCCTTCTCCTCCTGATGTGAGCAACTACTTGGTTTCAGAGGTTAGTCATATTAGTCATTTCTGTCCTGAGTAACTCTTCCTGGCCTACCCGTTACAACTGTTTGTTCTGAGAAGTCCTATTTTCCATTCAAGGATGATCCCTCAGCTTCAAGTGGAAACAGAGATCCGCTTTCATTTGATGGCATGGCAGATGCTGAAGTTGAACGACGACTAAAGGTTTCCTACTCTCTTCGTATTTCTCCCATATAAGTTGGTGCATGCCCGTTGCCTGTGTAGACAATATAGGGTGTTAAACCTTTTTTTATCTTTCCGTATCACCAAGTTAATTTCAGTTTCATTTTCGTGGACTTCTGTAGGAAGCAGCTTCAACTTCTTCAGTCTTACCTCCAGCAGTCCCCACTCTGGATCCAATGCTTGTATCATCTCTTTACACGATGGTGTCTTCTTCACGATCAATTCCACTGCCAACGACACAGCCATCTGTCGTCCCATTTCCTAATGCACAGTTTGCACAGGTACCTTCATTAGCTAAACCTTTAGGTCAGGTTGGTCCAGCAGATCCAAGCTTTTCTAGTTCTCCTGCTAGAGAAGAAGGCGAGGTTCCAGAATCTGAGCTAGATCCTGATACGAGAAGGAGACTACTTATATTGCAACATGGGCAAGATTCGAGAGACCTGCCTCCTGTTGAACCTCCATTCCCGGGGAGACCTCAGGTACAAGTTCCAGCACCACGTGTGCAATCTCGTGGAAGTTGGGTTCCTGCAGAGGAAGAGATGAGCCCTAGACAGCTGAACAGACCAGTACCTAGAGAATTCCCGCCAGAGCCTGAGCCAATGCATCTTGAAAAGCACCGACCTCATCATCCCTCTTTTTTCCCTAAGGCTGATACTTATATTCCACCTGATAGAATGGTTCATGACAATCAAAGAATGCCAAAAGAGGTATGTTGTCCTCTATTTTGGTTTCAGGTCTTGGCCCAAAATTTAGTGGGCATTTCTCCGACTTTTGCAATTATTGACTCCATTTATGCACAGGTACCTTACAGAGACGACAGGCCAAGGTTAGGACAGACCTTGTCAAATTACCAGTCTTTCCCAGGTCAGTTCTGGTGATGCTGCATTTCCATCATTTGCTATTGCATTGGAAGGATCCTTTTCTTTTTTGTTCTTCATTACATGCAATTTGTTTATTTTCTTCAACTTTTTTCATGTTATGTTGTTCAAATCACATGACATCTTGGTTTTTTTCTGCTTTTAAGGTGAGGCTATGCCATTGAGTCGTTCATCTAGCAATAGAGACCTTGACTTTGATATGGAAAGACCTGTTTCAACTGCAGAATCTCCCGTGAGAGTGTTGCAGGATATTGCAATGAAGTGTGGTACCAAGGTATGAACTATTGTAGTTAAGATTGTTATTCAGATGCTGTATATGTTTTTATTTTTACCTTTTCTGTATCTCATTGCTCAATTTGTTGTTGCAAAATTACAGGTGGATTTCAGGCATTCTTTGGTTGCTAGCAGGGATCTACGGTTCTCAATTGAGGTTGGAAGATCTTCTAGGCTCACGCATTCTTCTCTTTTGTGATAAATGGCTAGTAAATTCCTTGGGTTGCAGTGTTGTAGATTATTTATTTTGTGACTTCGAGGTGCTTACTCAGGTCTACACTTTTGCAGGTTTGGTTTGCTGGAGATAAAGTTGGTGAAGGTATTGGCAGGACTAGAAGGGAAGCCCAACATGAGGCAGCTGTTGGTTCTCTGAAGGCTCTTGCTAGTATGATTTCTGGCTAGTTAGTTTATAAAAAAGAAAGATCTCTTGCTATTAACTTCTAGTGCCTGATGTTGTGTCTATCGTTACAATACTTATTCCGATGTGACTGGAATCTGGAGTGAGATTTGGAACTTTTAATGTAAAATAGCTTTTAACCCAAATCTTTGCATGTTTTTGTGAGCTGTTGCTTTGCCTTTTCTTGCTCATATCCGTGTTGAGTTCGTTAGAATTGATTAGAATGGTTTTTCATTGTTGTGAAGTGATATTTCATTTGGAAACTCAAGTTGCTGTACCGTATGACTCTCAGAAGTTGCTAATTTGCTCCACAATAACGGGAAACCCCCCTCGTTAATGCATATCTATGTTATTGCTAATGGCTTTCCTTATGCAAACCACAACAGGTATTTACTCTAGGAGATTTTATAGGATCTGTTGCATCTTCCCATGTCTTCAACGAACCAGTACTCTGGTGTGTGTTGGGGGGTTGTTCATGTGCTCTTCAGTTTGCTTCCGTACTTGCATAAATCAAATATCAACTAAGAAACTGTCTGCTAACTTGAAGTAGATACCAGTCATTTATTTTTGGGAATAATACATCTGGTTCTTGTAATCTGGAGTCCAATGAAGTTGATGTTCTTTCAGCTTTCAAAATGGAGTTACTTGATGCCATTGGAAATCTGACACGTGTACACATTTCTATGCAAGGCATGTACACTTCACGTTCATTGCCAGATTCTGTATCTTTGCATGGAGATACAATGAGATATTCTGGTGTCAACGACAATGGTTTCTCTGGTAATGTCGGTTCATTTGGGGATGAACCAGCTCCAAAGCAAGATATGGTATCGTTTCCTCCCCTGGATCCGAGGTTTGAAGGCTCAAAGAGATTCGCGGGTTCAGTTACTGCCCTCAAAGATTTTGTAAGTGCCAAAAGTTTCCAGCTCTCTTTTCATATTTATTTTTGCAGAGTAGATATGATGAACTTCTTGTCATGCTTACCTTCTGGTATTTAATATAACCTTCAGTGCATGATGGAAGGCCTTGGGATGAGATTTCTCCCAGAGACTCCCATGTCAGTTAATTCAGACGAAGTCTATGCACAGGTTCGGAAGATGGCCAGTTCTTATGATTATTCAAATACAACTTGAGAATGTTTAGCATGAACCTTGGTTGTTCCCAATTGAGTGAGTTCTGTAGGGTGGTTTTGTTTCGATTCTTTCATTGGTAATTTTAAATAAGAGAAGGAAAAGAGCTGAAAGCAAGGAACCTTTGATATTTAGGTTTTTTTTAGTAAAACGGTCTTTTAGGATAAGTGAATTGGTTGAATGATATAGGCGCTAGAGATTTATGTTTTGTTTGTTTTATTAAGTATATTGAAGACTTGTGCACTGGTTCTTTATCCTTGACCTTTTAACTTGCACTTACCGAACTGCCCTCGCCTACTAGGTTGAAGTTGATGGACAACTTATGGGAAAGGGAATTGGATCTACATGGGATGAAGCTAGAATGCAGGTAAAAGCATTTCCCTTGACATTCAATAATTGATCTACAACTTATGAAATGTGGTCTATCATATATCTAATGTTTTACTTACTACTTTGTACACTTCTAATTTGCTTTTCTGTCAGGCTGCTGACAAGGCCCTTGGAAGTCTAAGAACAATGTTTGGTCAATCGACACCGAAGCGTCAGGTCTCCCCTAGGTTTGTTCTCACTCCCTGTTTGTTATGTGATGTGTGACTCCCAAATATTTTAATTTTCGCCAAAGTGCAGTCAGTGAATTAAGTCTGCGTTCCCCATAATTCACCGTGATTTTTCATCTTTTCTGAATGATTGGATTTCTTTTCCTGGAAATTCGGATTAGGTCTGTGCAAGGTATGTCAAACAAACGTATGAAGCCAGATTTTTCGCGAATGATGCAGCAGCGGATGCCCTCGTCTGCTCGATACCCAAAGAATGCCCCTGCTGTCCCTTGAAGAGCCTTACCATTATTCCCGCTTGTTCCAGTTTTGATCTAGAGAAGCAACTGTTGAAAAAGATCCTAATCAGCCAGCTGAATAGTTGGGGCACTTGATTGCCTTTTCCATTGATCAAGGATCTGATTTCGTCGGCGCTCGGTTCGAGGCTTATGTCCAATTTACTGTTGTGAGGGAGACCTCATTCTGTCTGAAGATCACCCATTCAACAGATTCAGTTGCGCCTCTGTTTTATTGAAGGTTCTTCCTCTGCCACTATCCGGCAGCAGCCTTTTGCACAATGACTGGGGCGGGTGTGTGATCGAGGCTAGTGTTGAATCGTGGTCGAGGATTGTCACCCTATCTGCAATGCGGACAGTGGCTGGAAGAACCATATTTGACTTGGAAGACGTTTTTGTATATTGATAGACATAAGCAGGGAAGCGGCAATTGGGCAAATAGCAAACAGGCTTCGTCTCCAGACCACTGATCTGGCCTCTTCCACGGTGTTGGTGTCGAGGCTTGTAGATTAACCTCGGCTTTAGCATGGAGCTGCCGACTATCCGCACAGTTCAGCTTTCGTCTCGGTGATTGTGCAGTGGTAGCAGCAACCGAAGATTGAAGTTCCTCTTCTCCCCCAGTCCCGTTACCATTGGGACAGTGTCTCTAGTGTACTAGAATGGCTAGTCTTGTAGAGTAGTTTGTATTGTTATCTGGGTTGATTGCCCAGAATTGTTTTGTCCCCCGTGGGAAGCCTGAGTAATTGCTGAAGTGTGTTCTACAGGCAGGGGAGTTAATGGGCTAAAAGGTGTTCTACAGGCGGGGGAGTCTAAAGGGCTAACTCATTGTAATTGCTAAAGAGCCCAAGGTGACGAGCAGGCCCATGATCCTCGGCAATACTTGACCCGTTATGGATTGGAGATGGGTAGAGATGTAATTTGACGTTGTAAAGAGGAAAGCCATGAAATATTCTCTTACCAGATTTTTTCTGGATTTAATATAAGTTTGTAATGTAAATTCGCTGCTGTTAATTAATAATTATTCTATGATTAGTTTTATTGATCTAACGTTAATTTCCCCCCACGGAGATCTGTTAGAGAATAAAACAAAGATTAAAGGACAACAGCCACTGGTTAGAGACAAATTAAGAAGTTCTCGAGGAATTACCGGCCGAATTTGGAGGAGGTTTTCGTATCGCAGACAGTCAGAGAATGAGAGTGTTGCTATCATAGTGGTATGATCTCGGTATTGGATTAAATCGATAATATTGTTAAAGCTTGTATGAGTTTCGAGCGGAACTATCTCGTTTAAAAGCTCGATAGCTTCCCCTCATGCTACGCCGACAATGGAACGCCCTCCAAACATAGGTGAGGCTCATTCCAGAATTTGGAACATGAATTAAATTATAAGGTGAGTAAGGGAATTAATTCAAAACCGTGTATTTGGAGAGGAAATGGAGATGTGAGTGGAAGCATGAGATGGAATTGACGGTGGCAGAAGGCGACGGAGAAGAAGAGGTTATATTAGTAGAATTATTTTGTTAAAATAAAATATTTTTATAACAAAAATAAAAAGGATAAATGTGTAATTTTAATTTAGAGCAATTATAGTAAAAGTTAGGGCGACAATTAACAATTAAAAACATTATCCCGAAAAGGACACTCATCAAAACGACGTCGGCCCTGGCAGCCAGGCAGGTGATCTCATTTTGAGGTGAAAGGTAAAAAAAAAAAACATTTCCCTTCTTCTCTGTGTCTCGTCTCGTCACCGGTGGGTATATAAAAAGTCAAACAACCGCCTTAAAATAGCAATACTTGTCTTCAAAAAGTTTGAAGCTTCCACAGCATTTCTAGAGAGAGAAGGCACCAACTTCTACCACAGCTTGAGGGAGGCGTAGAGAGAGAAAGCGAGGAGCTGTTTTACTGAGAAGAGAGAGAGCGAGGAGGAACGATGGCGTCCTTCGACGGATACGGAATCGACGGCGAAGCAGCGGTCCACGCTTCGAATCACGGATCCTTCCACGATGATGACGACCAGGAGAGCTACTCCAACTTCGGATCCTACTCTAACTTCGCCAGCGGCACGCCGGAGTTCTCCACCGGGGATATCCCTGTGGATCAGCCCGCCGCATCCTCCCCCGATGCCTTCGGATTTGGATCTTCTTCAGCTGACATGGATCCGAACTCTGGCTACTCCCAGAGCCCCTTCGGCTCGATCCCCGCCGAGAACGGCAACGGCAACGGCTATGGCGAGGCTGATGAAGGCATCTTCAGTTCCGATGGCCCCGTGCTGCCTCCTCCGACTGAGATGATGGAGGAAGGTGCAGCTCTTCGCGAATGGCGGCGGTGAGGGTTTTTATTTAATTCGAAAAATTTCCGATTCTTTTTTTCAGCTGCTCGTCGTAGATCCAATCTTCACTGTTTGCTTAGATCTGTGTATGGAATAGCTCGCTTTACGAGTTCCGGTCCTTCCGCCATTGTTGTGGCTTGCTTCCGAATCATGATGAGGTTTTACAAGAGAGTAGTGCTGATTCGTCGTTAGTAGACAGTTGATTGAAGTTTAGGAGAATCTAGCCGACGAAAGATCTAGACGATTTCCGATCTAATTTTATTCAATCTTGCGTCCATGCATAGAGAATAACCTATTAATCGTCTTCAAGCATCCATTCCTGGTTTAGAGTTTGAGATCGAAATTCTGCATTGTTTAGAGGAGGCTATGTTAGATCCATGCCTTGATATCTGAAACCATAGCTTGTGAGGTTTCCTGGAGTAGCTATGGTTTTTCTTCAGTAAGTGTTAGCTTTGCCCGTCTTGTTGCCATCTTTGCTTTGGGGAGAGGATTGAGTAAAATTCTGCATAGAAGTTGGAATTAGAAGATCTAACGAATGATGGTTCCGTGAATCCGATGAGCGGATAATTCCTAATTAGTCAACTTATCGATACTAGTTTCGGATGGTTCAATTTTGTTTAAGGCAACTACTGGTTTGGTAATGTATAGTTAAAGGCTTGGATGGTCCTAATTAGTTAAAGGCTTGGATATAGCTAGCCATTTTAAGATCTGGAACAGCAACTTGTAATCTAGTGATTACCATGTTAGAGTCGAGTTTACTTGTGAGGGAAAGCAGTAGAAGATGGGATGCAGTTATGTTTGTGATAATCAATTCACGGTTATGGTAATAGTATGCATTGAGATTTATGGATATCGTTTTGGCAGTCAAAACGCTATCTACCTCGAGGAGAAGGAGAAGAAAGAGAAGGAAATGAGGCAGCAGGTCATCGAAGAAGGCGAGGAGTACATTCGTGCTTTCTACGAGAAGCGAGCTCTCAACATTGAGACGAACAAGACAACCAACAGAGAAAGGGAAAAGGTGAAACTAAAATCCCTACTTAACTTACCCTGCTGAAATCTTTGCTACCCTCAGTAGCTTTTCAACTCATTACACACTGTTTTCAAAAATTGCCTTCTTGTATCAGATTTCCTTGGCCAGCCAGGAGAAATTCCACAAGGAAGCCGACAAGCAGTACTGGAAAGCAATAGCTGAGATCATCCCTCGCGAGGTTCCTAATATCGAGAAGAAGAGAGGCAAGAAGGATCAGGACAAGAAGCCTTCCATAACAGTGATGCAAGGACCAAAGCCCGGTAAGCCAACAGATCTCGCCAGGATGCGGCAGATACTCCTGAAGCTGAAGCACACTCCACCCCCACACATGATTCCTCCTCCACCACCACCTGCTGCTGCTCCGGCCAAAGACGGGAAGAAGACTGCCGACGCCAAAGATGCAGCCAAGACCGGGAAAGAACCAGCTGCTGCCACCACCACCACCACCACCAAGGACGTGACTGCTAATGGCACGGCTGATCAACAACCAGAGGCTCCTGCCGCCACCGTCGGTGAGGAGACTGCCCAGCCTGCTGCCGAACAGGAATCCACGCCCCCGAGCTCCTAGGTTCTAAACATTCCCTTTCTCTCATGGTTCAGTTGATTCCAATACTTTCTTTTTTGTTTATGATCTTTTATAATTGAGCTTTCCATTTGGGGTCTTTGTGATTCGAGGACCTTGTTCCTGGATCTGTTCGCATGGATCCAGCTCTTTGACATTTCGAGGCTTCCTCCCATGTTTCTTTTTCTTCGTTCCCGCTCTCACTTTTTTGTATTCTCATGTTGCATGAACGTTTCTTCTCTTCTTCTTCTTGCTTGTTCTATTATTAGTTTGAATGAATAGATAGACCTACCATATTCTTTTGTCCTATGTTTGTTGCGGCGCCACGAAAAATTTACGGGGTGGTCAACTTGTTTTACTGTAGTGTACGTACGTTGGTTGGTTGGTTGGTTGGACAGTTCTATGGATCGTCGGATTATTGAAATAGGTACGTTTGAAATGGATGGATTGCATGAATGAAGATGCTTTTGAATCGGTATATTTAGAAGGATAGATTATTGATCGCCTTAAGTGATTGATTGGCTTAGTGCTACTGCGACTATGAAGATGACAGAAATAGAAGTGTTGGCTGAGCCACATTCATGTTGAGATTTTGGCAAACCCTTTCTTTTTTACAAACGGATGAGAGCGTATCCCAGCTCATTCCGGTAAACCCTTTGTAATATTTATTGTGATGACATTAGTAGTGTGAATGATTGGTTATGGTAGGGGTGGATTTGCTTCGATTTCAATTAACCGAACTGTTAACCACGAAAGCCAAAAACCCGAAACGGACATTGCCCCAAGTTATTGTGCCAAGACCAGTCGTGTGAATGAATGGAAGGTAGGTATGGGAATTTCTCCGATTTGGTTAATCGAACTATTAGTCATGTAAGCCAGGAATCCGAAACCGGCATTGCCCCCCCTCGAGACCGAAACCATAAATTGAAAGGGTTTGAATGTGTTTCTCATCCTTTTCAATGATGTCTGAATGAGCATATTCCTAATGCTTCTCTCCTGACAGGCGGTTTTGGATCATTTAGCAGATAATAGCCACAATCCTACACATCCAAACAATGTCTTTATTCGTATCTCTCAGTCTAAACGCATCTTCAGACGGCAGCGAAGAATCTCGTGCCACAAGCTTGGTTCACGCGTAGTGGAGAAGAAAAGCAAAGAAAAATTGATGTTGGTGGACTGGTGGTGGGTAAGTAGGCGCTTTCAACTTTGGAGAAATGTTGCACCAAATCTCTTCCCATGTAAAATAGCATCCCTCCATTATAAGCTTTCCCATTATCTACGCTTTCCCATTACACGTGAGAAGACCCAATAAAAAATGGCAAAAAAGACAGCACACACCTCTATCATGATACAAAGGGCAAAAGGAACCCCAAAATGAAGAACACACCCTGGTGGTTATAATCCTACAACACTATGCTTTTACTGACTGTATCAATAACGGTTCACCTTGAAAGAATTGTGTTCTTCCACAAACTATGAAGAAAAAAAGATTACCTTTCATCTGGGGGCGACTTCAGTGATGGTGACAGGAACGGAACTATGGTTGTCAGAGGACTGTGCAGTGGACCTCTTATTTACAGAAGGCCCGCCAGCACTGACCCCGTCGGAATCCTGGAAAAACCCAGGGGCCGTGAGCAGCTTGTCGTTGAGCCGTATGCTCGTGGACAGCATCTCGACGACCTGGCTCATCGACGGCCTTCTGTTGGCCGTGGCTTGAGTGCAGAAGAAGGCTACTTTCATGTGTCTCACCACGGCTTCTTCGTCGAACTCCCCCATCTCGGTGTCCACCAGCTCTAGGAGACTTCCCTCTTCGTATAGCTGCCACGCCTGCTCAGGGAAATGGGGAAGGATTTTCGTTTTAATGCATTTGAATCTTTCCATAAATGAAGTAGGAATTTGATATTCGTTCTTCTTTTACCTGTTCTAGGAGGAGTTTTTGCGTCCCTCCCCAGCTGGCCCTTGAGCTACTTCTGCCGCTGATTATCTCCAGGACCAGGATACCGAAACTATAGACGTCGGCCTTCTTGGTTAATTGGCCGCCAAGTGCATATTCTGGTGCCAAATAGCCACTGAGCAAAAGCAAAGGAAATATCATGGTTACTACTTACTATCATGCAGTTGCTACTAAAACTGACTAAATTGGAATACTAAGCAGAAACACGTACGTGGTTCCTGCAATCCTCGTGCTGATGTGAGTGATGTCATCTGGGAAGAGTTTGGCCAAGCCGAAGTCTCCAATTTTCGGGTTCAACTCTCTGTCGAGGAGTATATTACTCGCCTTAATATCTCTATGAACAATATGTGGCACTAGCTCTTCGTGGAGATAAGCGAGACCTCGAGCTATCTCCAAGCATATGGCAGCTCTTTTCCCCCAATTTAACCTTATGTTTGAACTTCTCGAACCTAAGTTTTGGATATAGATAAAATTTCAATGATAGAACCGATTCAGTATCATTGTAATTGCAAGGGGTATGCTTAGTTGTAATGTGGGGATACGATATCCACCATACTCTAAGTTCAAACCCAACGGTAACCTATCTAAAGCAGCTATTCAGTATCATTGCATCATGAAATATGGAAAAGTTAGATCAGCAAAGTTGGATAGAACTTACCTAACAAACAATGGTCAAGACTATTGTTTTCCACGAATTCGTAGACTAATATCCGGTTAGATCCTTGAGCACAGCAACCTATCAGCTCCACAAGGTTTGGATGCTTGACTTTAGCCATTGCCCTGATCTCGTTCAAGAACTCCCTCACCCCTTGCTTTGAATGGACAGAGAGTGCCTTCACAGCAATCTCCCTTCCATCTCTTAGGGTTCCCTAAACCACATCATACAGAACACAAACAAACACCCCATTACAAACATCGACAAATACAGTAACCTACCTCTGCTTCGAGTTTTAATTATTAGTAAACAAGGCCATGGTCCTAGAAATTGATGCAGACATCAAGTATGAAGTTTCTAGTTGCTTCACCATGTTCAAACTGTGTTCAACTCACTAATCTCAATTCCAATTCAAACAAGACTTGGTTAAAAATGGCAGTGAAATAAGCACACCTTGTAAACTGTACCAAAACCTCCTCTCCCAATCTTCTTCCTGAAATCGAAATCATCTGTGGCCGACCGCAGCGTGTTATAAGAAATATGATTGACATCACGAAGCAGATCACCTAGAATCACCAACAGAAGTAGCAAAGTTACAGCAACAGAAGAGTGCTTTCCAAAATTCCGCACAGTTGACCTTCAAATTTTTTTTTTTCCCATTGGCGAAATGAAATCAAATTTGCTCACCATCAACGCCGTGATGAGCCCATGCGCGGGACGAGGTGGCGGCGCCGTCTTCCCGATCAGCCGCTGCGGCACCGAAGCAGCAGCACTTCATCGTCTCACTGGCAAAACCCGCGCATCAATTCCCCTCCCTCCCCGGAAACTTCACATAGCTAATATGCCTTTCAAAGTAAAACACGAATTCCGGCGAGGGTTTCTTTCTGATGATCAAAGCCTAACAACCACAACAGCCGAATTCATGGAAAAAGGAAGTACAGAAATGGAAAGAACTCCACAGTCCGAACCTACTCCGTCAAGGGAACCAAAGTCAACTGAAATCGTAACGCTAAAGAGAGAATCGAATTCGAGAGTAGTAAACTTAATACCTTGGAGAAGTATAAGAAGAGAGGAAGGAGGAGGAGGATGAAGCAACTATGGCGACGAGGCAGCTGCTGCTGCAAATTTCAAACACGCGCTACTTCTTCTGTTCTCCTTTTTTTCAACTCTCCCCCTTTGTTTATAATTGTGTGAGGGAAAACGGGAAAATGGAAAATGGCATTTGCAGGCGCTCAACTTCTTATAATTTTCCGTCTCCTTTTTAGTATTTTGTTTTCTTTAGTATGCTTTATTTTTTCCGCGCTTTTGTTAGGCCAAAGTAACTACAAAGTCTAAACTAAGGGGGGTCGTTTTTTATTAGATTGTTTGACATTGTTAATTTTTTTTGGCGGGTGGTTGGTCTCTAGGTTTGATTCAAGGAGTTGGACGTCTTTGGGCATTCTTTGTAGTATGGTTTACTAAATTGTACTGACGATTCATAGAAACGGAATATTAAAATATAATTCGAAATCATTTATAAATAGTCTTTTGATCGATATTTAAGATTGAATCAGCGAGACACAAAATGAGAGAAGTGGCTTCCCCCAATACCTGACCATTCCTTCCCTTCAACACATCACAATTACCATCCACATGTGCTATTCAAGTTGAAGGCTTAAGAACAAGTATATCCTACACTTTCAATGAAAACGAGAGAATATATAACTCTACATTCTAGTAAGGTTATGGTATGTGGTCAAAGGTGCACAAACATTGCGGCGGAAGTCCAAGTGGGTCATTTATTGCGTTAGATTGTCCAAATCAAGGTGCTATCAATGTATATATACCGAGAAGAGAATAGAGCCACGAAACCGACTCCCGAAACACAGTGTTGTCTATTCATAGATATACATGAACTAGTTAATCTACCAAGGTATCTGATTGACATTCTCAAGGACGATGAGCAGGGTGGTTTTGACCTGTAATGTAACCTCTCATCCTCTCACACCTCCTTAATTCACTAGAACTTCAATGGAATTATTATATGATATAATGTATTATACAATTAGTTTTACTCCATGGAAATTATGCTATGAAAAAAAACATATATATATCCAATAATTAATCAATGGACATAAGACATATTCGTGCGGCCAACTATAGTATTTAATCCCTCTCCAAACGCCAAACGGGACTAGCTTGTGAGGCAGCAAGGTCAACTATAGACAACATTCAAACTAAACTACTTTACTCTCCGTTAATATTTTAGGGCTTTAACTTCATGCTGATTCTCAACAATTGATGCATCGGATGGCGAGGAATGACTTGGCACATGATCGGAGTGGTGCAGTTCTAGAAGATGCAAGGGCATTGGCGTCACAACTTAACTGGATTTCATTCTGTTTTGTCTCGCGTCGACTTAATAGGGCTGCCCATCTTGTGGCAAGTAAAGCCCTTTCATCGGGGGTTCGGCGATTAGTCGACTCTCGCGCTTTTCTTTCTTCTTGTTATGACTGAATTAATACCGCTAAATTTGACAAAAAAAAATATTTTAGGGCTTTAACTTGTTTACGACGGCTCGTTGTTCATTTGGTTGCAGGCTTGCAGCACGGGCTCACGGCCCCTCGTTTTCAAGTCCATACTAGATGATCAAAAGCCCATAACGAGAGCAAGTACGGGCCCATTAAAACTTGTCCCATAGGTTGATAAAAAGTCTTTTTTAAACCCACGAGCCACGATAGCATAAAAAGTTTGTGAAATCGTATCATCGATAGTCCAACGGGGAAAAATATATTATTGGAGTCTAATCGATATGGGATTTTTAGATGTATGAAATGATTGATTAAAACATGATTTCAGTACAAAATATTCTTATTAGTGATTTTTTCGATACAATCTCTTGTACAATTACAATCATTGTAAAAAAAAAAATCTCTTGTAGTTAGTGCCCATTAATTCTTTTGATGAAACTTAAAAGGGACGGTTGCATATTAAAAAATGACTTGGGTTATGGATTTTGCTGCAAAATCGTGTCTTATCAGGCCTTATACGAATCAGAACTCAAGGGTTACAAAGCTTAAAAAATCCGTGTCTTATCACGCATAATACGGGTCATATCATCACCCTATAATATGATCATATCATGGTGGTAAAATTGTATCAGAGATTATTGTTAGGAACGGAACAACTCACTCATTTCCAACAATTATATGTCACAAAATTTTGTAAGTTTTCTATTTTACCCGATGTGTTTTGATTGAGAATTCTACTTCACTAATTATATAAGTTGGGATGAAAATATTTGTAGAAATATGAGTTATTGGTGCTTGTTATGGAAAGTAATTGACCAATGCGGTGAATATATTAGATTCAGTTACTACCTCACATAAGTATATGAATATTTTGGTATTTACTTGGTGTTTCACGATGAAAATTATTTTTAATCGTAAACAAAGAATCTTCTGAGCTAACGAGTGGCGACACTTCACGAATCACGACTGGACTTCTCCAGCCGCTCAATCGAGAAAAAACGGCAAGGGTAAAGGAAGGAAAAACGCAAACACCGGAGAAAAGAAACGTCGCCGGAAGAGAGAGAAGACCGCCGGCGCCACCACCGTCCCAAAAGCCTCCCAAAACATCTGGAAGAAGAATCTCTCTGTGTCATCCACTTTCCTCCCCAACAAACCCTAGAAACCCCAAAAACAAGACACAAATTCCAATTCCCAATTCCTCGCTCCCCTTCCCTCCCCTAACTCTCTCTCTCTCTCTCTTATGTAATCGCACTCTTGAACGCCCGCCCGCCCACACTAACCCCACTCACTCTCTCTCTACAGTTCAACCTGTCGCCTTCAGTGGCGACTTTCGCTTCCCCTGCTGAGCCTTTTGTCTACTTTTTCCCGGTCTTCTTTTTCTCCTTTGTCTCCTATATATAAAGTTCTAGGGTTCGGTCAATTGTCGAAATGAGCAATCAACCACAGCCACAGGTGGAGGTGGAGCAGGAAAAGGAGGAGGAAGAAGACGCTGGTATCAGTAAGGAACCGGACGAGGAAGGAGTCGCTCAGGCTTTGGAAGTAGCTGCTAAGACGGCGGCTGCGGCGGTGACGGTGTTGTCGGAGCAGCGGGAGGCTGAGGCTGAGGCGGAGGCGGGGAGCAGTGAGGAAGAGAGCGTGGAGAAGCCTGACGATCCGATGGAGGAGGATTCGGTCGGTCCGGCTACTGTGTTTTGTATCCGGCTTAAACAGCCTCGGTCCAATTTGATGCATAAGATGAGTGTGCCTGAGCTTTGCCGCAATTTTAGGTAATTGATTTGCTGTTGGTAGGATTGTTTAAGTGGGTTCTAATTATGGAAGCCGAGCTTCTTGCTTAGCTCAATGTCTGTTTGTTACTTGTTAGAGTGTAGCTGCTCCATTTATTTTCGTTTGTTCTCTTTTATCTGGACAGCAGGGTGGCTCGACGTTGTGGTACTGTTGGCTATGATGTATCGAACACCTTTTGTTGCTAAAGACTTTGGTGATTGATTTAGTGAAGTGTAACTTGGGGTGAGAAGAAGATTAAGGGTGGATAAAATGACCACGCTTTCTTGTTGAGTTTTTTTTTTTTATGACGGATTTAGTGAAGTTTAGCTTAGGGAGAAAGAAGAAAGCAGGCGTCTTCATAGGATGAATTGGTGTTGTTCGGAGTAGGTTATAGACCTTCACTTTCGAATGAATTTGTTGGCGTTTCTTTGGTGGAGGCAAAATGAGTTTAGATCAGAAGCTAAATTGTCTTGGTTTAGGATAAAGTTCTTAGTAATGTCATCTATTCCTTCGATTGCATCCTGTATTTTGAAGCTAAAGTTATTTCCTTGATGCTCATTTCTTTGTCAGTGCTGTGGCTTGGTGTGGGAAGCTGAATGCCATAGCATGTGCATCAGAAACTTGTGCAAGAATTCCAAGGTCCGTAAATGCTGTTTATTTTCTACACGAAATAATGTTTTTTTACCCCAGCAATGTAATTGTTTTTTTCCACTGGCCTCACAATTTAATTGTTTCACCCCAATTGTTTGTTTTTGTCCAATGACTAGAACTGTTGGTGTTGGTTTAGTAATTGGCAGTTCTTGGCTCTTGTTACTTCTTGATGATCATTCAGTCTCTTGCTCTTGCTCTTGTTGGAACATTTTTATTCAAAGTGGATTAACATATCCCCCTCTGGTCTTGCTATCAGTACTAGTATGCATATTTGAAAACCTATCTCCAATCTTGGCTCAAGTCTCCTGATGCATATTCCTTTTTGTCTCTTTAGACTAAAAAGTTTATTTATGTAAAAATGTGCTTCTGTTTTTAACTTCTTTAGCCCTTCTTACTCATTGATTGTTGTTTATGTAGTTCCACCGCAAATCCTCCATTTTGGATCCCCATACACATTGTCATCCCGGAGCGACCAACCGAATGTGCCGTTTTTAATGTGATAGCAGGTATTAGATTGAGTTGGGACCCTCCCACAGTTAAATGCTTGATTTACATACGTTGATGCTATGCTGTGTGTACCTCGATAGCTGAATGATATGTCTTTACTTATTAGTATCCTCTTCATCGCTGCTAGTCATTTGTGGAAGTCAACTCAACACCCAATTGATACACTCATTGACAACCATATATTGCAAATTCCTTTTCAAACTCCATTTCATCTTTACTTTTTTTGTAATGGTGAACTCTTCATTTTTTGGTCGGTTATCATTTTTCAAACTGCAAGTAACTCTTTGGAGTCCTTTTCAGATTCGCCTCGCGATTCTGTTCAGTTTATTGAATGGTCTCCTGCTTCCTGCCCTCGCGCCTTACTAATAGCTAACTTCCATGGGAGAATAACAATCTGGACTCAACCTTCTCAAGTAAGTTTGTAGTCTCTTTATTCTGTGTACGTGTTGGATTGGCATACATTCCTTATTTTTACATCACTTCAACCATTCTGTGGTATGCTTCAGGCTTATAGGATCTTTGAATTCTTAGAAGCTTTCCTCCTCATCTTTCTTATGTAGGGCCCGGCTAACTTGGTACGCGATGCCAGTTGCTGGCAGCGTGAGCATGAATGGCGGCAAGATATTGCAGTTGTTACGAAGTGGTTATCTGGCGCTTCTCCGGTATGTTGCTCAGCATTTATTTCCCTTTTTGGTTGCTGTCCAGTGTTTTCCCCCTGCATTCAGTCCAGTTTCAGCACCTGGTTTAACCAGAGCTCCTGCTTGTTCTGCTACCAATTTGATTATTATGAAAATTTACTT